AGTGAAACACGCAATTTGATTGGTCAACAGCCGTGCAGGATCAGACAATCCTGCACGGGAAATTCTAAGCAGAAATTCTTGCGCATAATTTTACAAAATACTCGCATTGTAAAGTTTCATTGTACAATACCTTTCCAATTTGAAGTAAGTTTGCAATTATTGAGACGTTGGTTTAGTTGTATGAATAAATTTCTGATCGATACATTGTTGTTCAGCAAGTAGCAAGGCGTAGCGTTGAAATTCATCAGACCATGGTAAGTACAAGTGTACAACATCTCTCGCTTCAATTAAAGTTCCAACGCTTCGCAATCTTCAAGTATTCAGGTGGAGAATCTTCATAACTACTTTGGCTCTCTGTTTAGCTGGTTTTCCATTTCAAATTTCGTATATTTTATAAAAAAAGACTCGAATTTGCGATCAAATTCTGTTCACATTTGTTCATAGATATAGGAGATCTAGATTGCTAACGCATACCTAGCGCAGGTGGGGCCTACATGATAAATCCAAGATGGCGGTACAACAGGGCAAAAAGCCTATAGATTCTATTACGAAAATCAGGATTTTTGCCTTTTTGCCGTCGCATTGTTTTGAAACTTATTCGGTCAAATTTTATGGTAAAGAGAAACTTACCGCGAAGATTTTGAGCACATATATGATTGAATTGGATGAAAACTCGCAAAATTATCCATCGATAAAAGTTCGTGTATAGTACTGATATAGTACAATATATGTAACTTGTACAGTTTTGCTTTAATTTTTGCTCACTATTTGCATAAAAAGCAAATTATAACAGACCATAGATGATAGACCCTCATCCAGTGCTCTCATCAGTTTACTTCTCTAACAAGCAAGGGGGGGGGGGAGGGGGGTTACATAACAGTTCATTTTTTATAATTATGAGGACAGAGCAGATGATGATGAGAGATGCAAGTATAAAACACCATTCACAAGGCTAGATGTTAACATAGCACAGTATTTCTGGCAATAAAACGCTCCAACTGACCAACTGACCATTTCACACGAACTTTTATCGCTGGATAATTTTGCGATTTTTCATCCAATTCAATTATATATATGCTCAAAATCTTCGCGGTAAGTTTCTCTTTACCATAAAATTTGACCGAATAAGTTTCAAAACAATGCGACGGCAAAAAATGCAAAAATCCTGATTTTCTTAATAGAATTTATAGTCTTTTTGCCCTGTTGTACCGCCATCTTGGATTTATCATGTAGGCCCCGCCTGCGCTAGGTATGCGTTAGCAATCTAGATC